CCATAAGAAAGTTGGCGAAAAGACGTGAAGCAATATGAAGAGCTTGCACCATGAGCATCAACCATGTGAAGTGGCTTCACGAGCATCAACCATGTGACGTGACTTATTTTTCCTTTAATATCTTGTGCTGCGGGAAGAAACAGTGTTGTAAGAATGCATGGAATACACAAACCACACACATGGGATGGACGTGGTTACACAGGTGGATGGATTCATGATGGGCATAATCGGTGGGCAGGTGGACAGATGGACGGGCAGACTGACAGACAGTGGGCAGATGGACAGGACAGACAGACGGGTGGAAGTACAGATGTATGGGTGGAGAGAGAGAGAGAGAGAGAGAGAGAGAGAGAGAGAGAGAGAGAGAGAGAGAGAGAGAGAGAGAGAGAGAGAGAGAACAGACAGACGGGTGGAAGTACAGATGTATGGGTGGAGAGAGAGAGAGAGAGAGAGAGAGAGAGAGAGAGAGAGGTGATGCACCTGAACTTGGTTGACCAGCAGGGGACTTAGGGTTCGTGAACCTTAATCCCTTGACAACAATATTTTCATCGCACAATCATGACAGAAGAAGAAATTATACTGTACAGTTGAAACTACAGTGGTGGATGTCGAATGTGTGTTTTGTTTTCCAGGTTGCTTTTCTTACCGTGTCTTGAGGTACGAGAGCAACAACACTTCGTAATGATTCCTGCAGTCCAACAATACTTGTTCTCGTCAGCCAGTGTTACTTGGTTCCGTGATCCGCATGCTGACCATCATTCAATAACTAACGACATCATCATGAGTTCTGTACTAAATTCCTGAAGTTATGGAGGCAAGACACAAGGAAGGATTCCAATGATGTTTTCATTTCGATATTGATTTTCGGCCAACTAAGTCCCAACTTTTTTTTTCTATTTTCAGTGTTTTGGATAAAAGCAGGTCCTTATGGCCGTGGTTCCTTGTCCATTCTGGGGAGCGTTAGTCCGGTTCCCTTCCACCGGCAAGTGAAAGCTGAATACATGATAAACACACTCCACGCTTCCTTCCGTTTTGGGCGAAGGACCCCTGACCAGTATTTATTGCTCCAATAAGGAGGATTGACTGTCAGATTGCTTGTCCCTCTTGATCCTCTCACTCTCAGCCCTAACTAAGAATGTCGTGTATGTCGTACCAGAGCAAGAGCTATAAATGTTCAGGAAAACTGACGGCTTCGTGACCCTTCACAATCCTCTCAGCCTTGGCGGCGGCCAAGGCTGTCGGTACTGCTTCTAAAACAAGACTCTTAAAGGCCCCATCCGAATCCTGAGGCACTGTCCCATTTTCTTCCAGCTCAGTCTGTTGTCTCTGATTGTTGCAATTCGACCCTCCAGCAGCCAATTCCTTGGGCATGCATTCCCCATTAGTTCCAGCCTCTGTGGATGGGTTTGCCCTGAGCTCTTGATTTTTAGCCACCTGCATCTGATCTCTGTTTCTGCCATAAGGATCAGCTGGTTCCCGGATACCTCTCAGTCCACAATATGACCATCGATTGTCGTCAAGCATCGGCGCTTCCTGATCGTCCGCAGCATGAGCTTCCACTGAGTGTGCTGCTATATGGCAGGGTGTGATACTATGTGGGTGGTCTTCCTAGGCGGATTGATGGGGGTGGGGTGTGGGTTATGGGCAGGTGGGCATGGTCAACGATTCATGGTCATTTATATGTGTGTTGTCATATTCACTATATAGCATACACTGAAAAACAGATCACTGTGCCAGACTGTTTCGTCGGACTTTCACCCACTCATCAGGAGGCTGATAGGTGTCTCTGTGTGTCTCTGAGAGAGAGAGAGAGAGAGAGAGANGAGAGAGAGAGAGAGAGAGAGAGAGAGAGAGAGAGAGAGAGAGAGAGAGAGAGAGAGAGAGAGAGCGGCTTGGACTGGTTGTAGGAGGACGAGGAGGAGGAGGAGGAGGAGGGGATGAGCAAGAACAGGAAGAGGATGGGGATGAAGATAAGGAGGGGGAGGAGGAGCGCGATGACAATGACTAGGACGTGGAGGATGGCCATAAATGAAGACCAGGAGGACAAGGAGCAGCAGAAGAAGAAAACAGCAGAAGGAAGACGAGGAGCAGGACAAGGAGGAGAATGACGAGGAGGAGAAGAGGAGGACAACACAACAGGTAGGAGAAGGCCGAAGCATGACTTGCTGGTTTCCTTTTTCAGCATTTCTATATTTTTAAGTGTCGCACCTGGTCACCAAAGGAAAATGAAATCCAACGCAGAGAATTGGTTACCCCCCTTTACAAGGAGGATTAACTGCTGCGCTTCCGCATACACTGACACACCACTCTTGTTCCAGCCCGAAACTGTCGTGATGAGGGTGAGATACCCTCTCTCTCTCTCTCTCTCTCTCTCTCTCTCTCTCTCTCTCTCTCTCTCTCTCTCTCTCTCTCTCTCTGTGTGAGTGTGTGTGTATGTGTGTGTGTGTGTGTGTGTGTGTGTGTGTGTGCCCCCCTGCTCCAGGCCGTATGGTGTGCTTCCTCATAACTCACACCGCTTAGGAGGGCCCTTGTGCAAGGATTACATTACACATACAGCAAAATTAAAGTGCAGAGCCAGCACACTTTTTTTTCCCAGGCCAAATGCGGTCCCTTTTTTTGGCCATACCGCCCATGCGTACCGTGGCCTGCCCATCCCTGCTTGGCTTCGGTCCCCCCCCGCCCTGCCACGCCACGTGTGTGTACCCAACCCCATTTTAACTGGATCCCTCCTTCTCGCCCAGCGGGTGTCCCTGGGTCTTGCATGAGAAGCTCTATGCAAGACCTGCTGCCCGCTTTAAGGGATAATAATAAGGGATAGGAGACAACAAGTGGAGACCTTCAGCAGGTATCAATTTACAAAAAAAATTCACTTGATGAATCTGCATATCTGTCTCTTGGTCTTTGGGTAGCTGGATTGCACACACACACACACAGAGACCAAGGTCATGTTTCTTTTTGGGGAGTTGTGCATAGGGAACATGACGACACACACACACAGTCACTAATCTTGAGCATGGTCAATGGGATCAGATCCTCACAAACAGACCGGAGAGCATTAGCAGTGACAGCATGCAAATATCTGACTTATGCATACCTTTGATTCTCACAATCAACATCCAGGGCAGAATAAAAGTGTGACATTTCGAACCAGCGCTTCTAGAAAAGTGAGGTTTTCAATCAATAGAGAGGGAGTTGGGTACTCGAACAATGACACATGCCAGCTGTCAAGGACCGTTGGGCTAGACCCTCACCTGTTTTAGTGATCTCACATCATAACCATCAATCGTCACAACGCCTGCGGTTGGATCAAAGAGCCGAAGGAGAAGTTTGACGATTGTGGATTTCCCAGATCCAGACGTTCCGACAATGGCAATACTCTGACCGCTGCTCACACTGAATGAGACACCTCGAAGTACCTGTACAGCATGATCACCTCTTATTAAGTACACTTGTAGCACCAAGCAATCCGACGACTGTAACTTCTGGCTTTGGCTTACGGATGAGAATGACATGTAAACATGACAGCAGCAGACTACTCGTGAGGGCAACAAGTTTCCGCCGCAAGAGGAAATGCCTGTTAAGTACGTAATGTTTACGCATTATTGTGAGCGGGACCACTGTTGATAGGTACGAATGGCCGCAGTGGCACACAGTTATTTGTCATTCTGTCGGCAATCAATTATTAGCCTCCACTTAAGGGAAAGTATCTGATGGCTACCATCACCCCCAGATCAGACCAGAGCATACTGGCACATTACAAAAGGCTAGTATGCATGGGCGGAGATGAAACAATGGACCTAATGGACCAGTCATGCCGGCAGTGATGTACATTGGAACACAAAATCAAGAATCAAGATGAGATGAGACAGTGGACCTAATGGACCAGACGTGCTGCCGGTGAAGTATGCTGGAACACAAAATCAAGAATCAAGATGCTGCAGTTTCTTCAAATCCAATTTCCTACCAGTTATTGCAGCCAATGTCACAGTTCACTGGTGAACATTCAAGTAACACGTGTTGTGATCCTGGGATTCCTGGCCAATTTCGAGATACACATTCATCAGATAGTCCAATGCCGTCCAATTGCAAAAAGAAATGAATGAACTTGAGAGGAGAGAGAGGGTTAAGAGAAGAATAAGAAGATGATGTACACCAGCATAGACAAATGAGAAAGCTCTTCTTCTTCGCCAATCACTCTCCTCCTCCTTATCTCCTCCTCTCTTATTCACACAATAAATAACAATACAATTTTGTGAATGGCTGAACCAGAATCAAAGTCCGAATCCCTCTTCTACTGCAGGTATCACTTGAGGTCCACCATAGCCATGGCCGCCTCCCTCACTCTTCACTCTCATAGGCCGAGGCTATGGTGGACTACTCGGGCCTGGCCCTGATGTCCAAAGGACAACGCAAAGCAGCTATGGCTGCTCTAGCTCAGGCCACCATGCCTAGCTCTGCCTCGAAGCTTCTTGGTGTAGCTCTACCCCCAGCTGGGGCCTTCCTGCTGCAGCGCCCACCGAGGTGATGAAGCTGGCTGCCACCATAGCCAGGTAAGTACCTCTGGCGCTCCTCTTTAGCCCTGGCCTTCTTCCTCCTCCGTGTCCTAACCAAAAATAATAAACTCCGGATCCCAGTCAGGAAGAGAGTGGACTAATGTCTAACAGATTCAGGTCCAAGGGGCCCTTCTTGTTTGGGCCCGGTCCCACTGGGTCCCCAAGGGTCCCACATAGGTCGTGACCGAGTCCCAACCAAGAGGAGTCCCACATGGACTAAGTTTCTGTCTCTACCGTACTGAAAACGAATTTCAACTTCCGGCAGAACCTACAGACTACAGCCGTTCAGAGATGAAAAGACAAAGCACTGTAGAAGAACTCGGCATTCGAATCAAGATACTTCATTTCTCCACCCATCAGGTGAGTAAGTAGTTCACACACATTCAATCACACAATCAAGACCACAGAGGAATAGGAAAGAAACCCAGAAAAACCCCAGCAGGACAATCAATACCAAGCACACATACATGGGCATCCCCTGGCAGCTATGTTCACCTACTTGAGGGCAGCCCTTAAGTTGCCAAGTGTCTCCCTTGAATCAGATTCCAGGTGTGAGTGCCTCTCATTGTCGGTGTGCAAGTTTGGCGACACACTGGTTGGAGCGCTGGCTGGAGCAGTGCTGCTGGGGAAGGAGCAAGGACACGGATGAGGAAGAAGGCCAGAGGTACTTACCTGGCTATGGTGGCAGCAATCTTCATCCCCTTCGTGGACACTGCAGCAGCAAGGCCCCAGCTGGGGGTAGAGCTACACCAAGAAGCATCGAGGCAGAGCTAGGCATGACGGCCTGAGCTAGAGCAGCCATAGCTGCTTTGTGTTGTCCTTTGGACATCAGGGCCAGGCCCAAGTAGCTCGCCATAGCCTCGGCCTATGAGAGTGAAGAGTGAGGGAGGCGGCCATGGCTATGGTGGACCTCAAGTGATACCTGCAGAAGAAGAGGGATTCGGCCTGTAAAGTCCTGAATGAATGTCATGGGACGGAAATAAAAGAAGCTGAAGCCGGTCTGGTCTATGTGGAAACAGCCCCATGTGACGTCTCTTAGTCTATTGGCCAGTGCCTTAGCTATTATTTTGTGAGTTAAGGTTAGGAGAGTTATCAGCCTATAGTTCCGTATGTCCGCCGGGTTCCCCTTTTTGTATAGGAGCGTTACTACGCAATCCCTCCTGTTGCCATGTTGCCTGAAGGAAAGACTCGTATTCTAGCATCGGCCAGAATTCTAACCAGAACTCTCTTGTGAATCCGTCCCTCCCTGGTGTCTTGTTTGGCGGCATTGGCTTCAGTGCTTCGTGGAGTTCCTCTTGCGTAACTGGGGCGTCCAGTTTGGCAGCCTGGTTCACCGTAATGGTCCTATCCAAGCACATTAGGAACTTCGTCTGAGAGGTGTCTACCTGCTCCCTTGGGTGCTCATGCTCCCTTGAGGTATAGAGAGTGCTGTAGAAGTCGTGGGCTACCTTAACCAATCCTTCCGCCGAGGACGTGGGGCCGTTGGGTGCCTCCAGTTGTTCTATTACTGCATTCCATCCATTTGCTTTGATTTTCTGGAAAAAAATGCTTTGTCGTTCGCTGTCCTTCCTCCCAATCCTTCATTCTTGCCCGCAGCTGAAGTCCTCGGGCCCTCCACCGCTCCCACTCCTCTAGTTCTGATCTAGCTGTCGCCAGCAGTTGCTCATAGAGATCAACTCCCTGGTGAGAAATCAGGTCGTGTTCTGCTACCCTTATTGCCTGCTGTAATTCGTGTTGCCTGCCTTTCCCTTTGGCTGCCAGTTGCCTGGCTGCCTTAGGCGAGGACTGCAGCAGGTCTTTTCCAAAAAGTCCGCAAAAGAGTGGTGGTTGGGATCGTGGGTGAGACAGGCTTACAAAACCGCCTGTCGCAATTCAGGTGTGCACAGTATGGAGTTGTTGACTTTGTAAATCCCTTTGCCCCTTGCTATTTGTTTGTCTGTAAATAGATCCAGGAAGATGGGTCTGTGATCTACGTCTGCGTGATAGGGGAAGTCTCCCGTAGAGTGTAGTGATCCTACGAGGCCCTGGGTGATAAGGAAGTAGTCTATACGGGATGCCAATATGTGCTGACCATGGTTCCGCTTTTGGTATGTGAATTGCCTTGCTTCTGGGACGTATAGGCGGTAGGGATTAATCATGTCACACTCAGTCATCAGGCTTTGCACTGAAAGCGCTTCCTCTCCCCGCGCGGCGTCCCCCTCTTGATGGGTCCCTGACAGTCGGTCCTTGCAGGGTTCTAAGGCTGCATTCCACTCCCCGGCCAGGATAGTATGGTGGTGGGGTTCTATTACTTGTTTCAGTTTGTCGAACGGTTGAGCTCTAGGGTGGGAGTTGTTAGGGCAGCATATAGACAGTAAACTGTACTGCTCCTCGTGGAATAGGAAGTTTAGCTTCACCCAGTGGCCCTCTTCTCTGTCCGTTTCCCAGCCTTCCATTACTATGCTTTCTGCTGCCCCTGCCCGGCTGTTCTGCAGGATGACCACGCCTGCTCAGTGTGGCCTAGCTGCTGGCGCTCAGCCTGCATCCTTGACCCAATGTAACCTTTCCTTAATGTCGGCTAGCGTTTTCTGATGTTCCTCTGCGGTTGTAAGGTGTGTTTCCTGCAAACACACAAAATCCGGGGGGTCGTGTCCATATCATTTCAGGTAATCCGTCATGTTTCTCCATTTGTCAGGATTGTCCAGAATCGAGGCCAGACCGTTTACATTGCATGAGATTATCTTGAGTTCCGTCCTGTGTTCTCCCGTCCTGTAGGTCGTCCTTTTTCTTTTTACCGGTGTCCCCTCCGGTCTCTCCTCCCTTAGTCCCTCCATCTAACAACGACTGGGGGACTACCTGACATCCTTTCTAAAAGAAAGAGCTTCAAGTGAATGCCTCCAGGTCAATCCTTGTTGCCTGTGCCGCAATCTTCCTCTCCATGTGAATGCCTCCTTCTCTACTGCGATGGCAGCGCTACAGGCTACCCATTCTGCTGCAGTATTGCCCCCTAGTAGACCGTATGGGATGGTTTCCACCACTTGCCAGGGCATCCAGATGAGATCCTCTCTTAGTGCTGCTGTGTCTGGAAACAGCCAGTGACTCCAAATGGGGAACATGGGTGGAACACGGGGTATGGCAGATTAAACACTTATGATCGGAAAACATGGGCCGGTGGAAAACAGCAAGGGAGCTCCGGGCAAAATTGAAGGGGAGCCATAGGCTGTTGGACAACTTGAACGATGTAATACTGGTCTCAATTCCGGCAGAATGGAGGGCACTGTTGGAGAAGGGGTCACAGTGGGTAACACACAGGAAGGACGACACTCCAAGAAAGGCCTTCAGGGTGCACCAACAAGTGGGACATCAGGCGGACTGGCTTTCCACAGACATGTACTCCATCGAACAGCCGGGAGCTACAACAAGCCTGCTGAACAAAGAATCTAATACCCCGGTGGCAATTCAGATAGCGGTCGTGCAGAAGGTAAGGGTGGTGGAAACACAGCCCCACTACCCCGGTGGAAGATCTTGACTTGGCCCCGGCGGAGTAGGGGTGGAATTTGAGAGGAGGCTGATTCAACGTATCCAGAAGAACAAACATACTTCACTACACGACCCGCTTGGGCTACAAACTTCAGCTGTGTCCTTAACCCCTGAGGGAGACGCTAACTAAGCAATGGGAGGACAAGATGGTAGTACCTGCAGGGCAGATGCCAGTGTTCCAGTGGTCAACCCTGGCAACCATCTGGCTAGGCCGTGTACGTAGCATGCAATAGTTGATCTGCTATGTGGCGCTGCCAGTCAATGCATGGGTGAACGTGCGCAGAAGCAAGGAGCACAGAAATCCCCTTGATGATCTCTGTGCAATCTGCACAGAAGGGGCGAGAGAGACAATGGAATACTGCGTACTGGGCTGAAAGGGAGCTAAAGCAATCTGGCAGATAGCTAAAGACTGGTGGGAGAAAATGCCAGACACCCAATTTCCAGAGGCCATGATAGTCCTCCTAACGGGAGGGGAAACACCATCAAGTTGGTCAGCATTCGAGAAGCAGACCTTCCACCTTCTGAGGCAATATGCGTTACGGACTACATGGAAGAGGAGATGTCAGATCACAATAAAGGGAAGACCGATGCCAATCCCAGAAGCAAACGAGATTTACAAAAATCTAATGCACACCGACATAAGGGCCCAATGGAAAAGGGTAAGAATCCGTAAGACATAAGTTGCGGCAGAATCCGGGGGGATCAAAGAACATCCAAGCTCGCTTCGAACGCACAAGCTTAGGAACCTGGAAGATGGCCATCATAGAGGGAGCGTGCGTAACATCACAACTCTGAGCCTGACCGGTCAGCAGGCAGGGGTGGTAAAAAAGGGACGCGAGGATACCTCACCCTTAGTCCACGGGGACTAGGAGGGGGTTAGGGTTTAGGGAGGTAGAACTTCGTATTAGTTACATGAAACCTAGGGTTTAGGGTTTAAGAAAAAGTGAGGCAGTTTGTGTCTTTAGCATCTTCCCCGCGTGTCTTAAAAGTTTACCTTCCCTCCTAAGAGCTAGTGAATAATCAGTTTAAGTAAACTTCATTCCATTTGGAATATACAAACCAAAAGTCAATCCTAGTCACCCATCAGATATGTTCTAAAGTTCTCCATATATTGACTACAAAAGTTCAATATTTTATATGTCATAACAATGATAAAAAAGATCATTATCATAGAATCATAGGGTATCATTTTATTATCAATTGGTTGCCAAGTGCCAGGATCAATAAGTAATTTGATTCTTTCTGTGCTATTCATTTTTAGATGATAACCACATTCTTCATAGATTCGATGATTTTGTTTAATCAACATATAGCATGCTTTGACATTTAGGTTCATCTACTGCATTATTGTCTTCTAATAAAAAGATATCACAATACAATATTAGACTTCCGACAAAACAAAAGTTACGTTTTTATTATGGACTTACAGAACGTCAACTACTTAAGTATGTAACCATCGCCAGAAATGTTAATGGTCCAACAGGCCAAGTACTTTTGCAATTACTTGAAATGCGTCCAGACAATATAATATTTCTTTAAGGAATGACACCTAATCAAATCAATACAAATATATATATATATATGTCACAAACAGAACTGCCCGGTAATATATATATATATATCAAACAGAACTGCCCGGTAAACCGTAGGCAGAGAGAGAGAAGAGGACAACAAACGAGGGGCTGTGACAAATTGTTTCATTGGAGTTTCACCGACTCATCAGGAGGCTGAACCCTCAACAGTCTGCAGAATCCCCTCACTGATTACACTGTAAATGATAATCTACCTTAACCAAAATCAAAGTAGACTATCACTCACCCACACCAGATGGAAAACTCTATAGACTGTCG